GAGCAGATACACAGGTGTCAACCCCTGGGCTTCTCTGTGACACTCCTAAGCCTGCATAGTCTCTTCACGGTGGGTGTCTGAATCCTTGATTAACCTGAGTTGTATACTCTTCAAGCAATAAAAAAGAATGACAGCTTGAGCTCACAGTTAGCATCCTTTATTTAGGGCCTTCATTCTCCTGGAAGGACAGAATGGTCCAGTGATTCTCAGCCCAGTCTTTGCATTGGACCCACCTTGACCTTGGACATAGATCTCTTCCAGGAATCCTGCGATTCCACATAGGTAAAGCCTGGGTGTCAAGATGTTTAACTCTTTAGTGGAAATTCAACATTCTTGCAGGGCTGAGAATCCTGAAAACAAGCAGCTTGGAGCATACCAGGACTTCTGGTTAGAGTCCATCGGGTGTGATTGGGTAAACGGAACCAGGAATGTACTTTAGTATGACTTGCTTTCAAGCCAGCACTTTCAAAACCCCATCTACTGCTAGTGTGTGACCACTGGCATAGTTACAGATCTGATTTACCACCTTCAGACAGGGGCACTGTTCTTAACATTTATGGCAGCTCCCTTGGTTCAAATCCAGGTAATTGGCCTTAAATACTTTTCATGACCCCAATTTCAAGCCCCTTTGAGCTATGTGAAAGTGGGAGCACAGTTCCCTGTCTTAAGGATGGAGTGGGGAATTCAGGAAATACAAGGGGTAAGTAGGTGCTGTTATCCCCTGGGCCTTGTGCTACATACCGAAGATGGGTGCGGTGGCTCACGCCTGTGATCCTGGAACCCAGGAGATGAGCCAGGAGGACTGTTGTGAGCTCCTGGGCCAGCATGGCTGCAGAATGAGACCCTGCCTCAAGAAAGCAAAACCTAACAGAGCCAAACAAAAACCCCAAAGGCAAACTACCAACTTGTTGTCAAGTGTTTCATCCATAAAAGGGTATGAAGAATAGATAAGTCAGGCTTGGGTCTAACTAAGTCATGAAGCGTGTGCCTAGAAAGTAGGAAGCATAGGTCCGCCTCCAGCACCCGAAGGAAAACCTGACCAAGTAATAACAGAGAAATTAAATAAAACCGTGAGCACATTTGATCCCCACACTAGAAACATTTGCTTTACCATTTTCCTAAGACTGTGTTTACAATTTGCTACTCAACATTTCATCCAGAGCTGCATGGAGTTGCAAAGGGCAATGAAGTCTTTGCGTGAGAGGAACAAACAGAACTGCCACCCAACGCCTGGCAGCATTTCAACTGAGGGATTTGTGCTCTTTTTCAAAGTGGCACAGTTAAAAATATTAAAAGTTATGGGGCCACTAAGATACCCCAGAGGCTGAAGGGGCTTGACTGGAATTTGAACCCTGGAGCTCAAGTAAACAAGGAAGGGGAGAACCGAGTCCATGTAGTTGTGCTCTGTTTTTCACATGTGTGCTATGACATGTGCACACATGCACACACAATAATAATAAACAATTTTTGGAAGTTACACATTTGTAAGATGATAAAATGATGAACACTTCCCAAGTACATATCCCTAAGAACGAACAACCTCCTTCTGCATGGTTTTAGGCCATAACTAAATGATCTTATACTTTATATAGTCTTACACACATTATTTCCTTTTTACTTGACATGACAGTGAAAACCTCCTTGTTAATATGTGTAGCTCTGGCCACTCATGACCGGTTTGTTATCTGCTCTCCTTAACATTTGGTGATTTCGGCTTTGGGCAATTCAAATGAGTTCTTCTGGTTTGAGGATATAGATAGTTGGCAGAACACTTGCCTAGCATGTGGAAGACCCTAGGTTCAATCTCAGAAGAAGAGGAAGAAGAAGAAGAAGAAGAAGAAGAAGAAGAAGAAGAAGAAGAAGA